AGCGCGGCCCGGGGGGGGCGGTACCGGCCCAGCGCTGCGGCCGCACCTGCCGCGCCACCCCCGCTGTAAAGAGCCCGAGAGACAGCCGGAGGGATAAAGAACTTTATTTTAGGGACGGAGGGGAGGGTGGTCCTCTTCCCCCACCTCATCACTGCTGGCTGTAAAGTGCTCACCCTAAGAAAGATAACAGAGGTCATATCTGCACTAGAGAATATATTATAAATTATACCATGCAATCATTAACAAAATATACAAAGCCAACAGAAATGTAACTCAAGCCTGAGCATACATTATCTAAAGTCTAGTAAAAAGTAGCCTAAAGAAAAGAGAATTTCACACTTCACATTTCAATCTGCAATGAAGTGTGCCTTCTCAAACATTTTAGTGTTTTGTTAATTTATAGAACACATTAACATTTTAAGTATGAACGTACACACAGAAAGAGCACGTGTCTTGTCTGGCATCACACTACACTTGCAAAATTTCAACAGCTACTGCACTTCGTCCACACCCTTTCCTCCTTCCCATTCTAGAGTAGGCATAAGACTTAAGGTAGTGAAAACAATATGCATAAATACAGGTGGGAAAAAACCCAGCAGTTTCAAGTTACAGAAAGATCTTTATCTGGTCCACAGCAGACAGTTGTACTGGTGTACAGGGAGATGGAGAACACTGCAAAATAGTTCTACTGTATTTCAAAATAAACATTTAAGAGTATATCTTCCACAATCTATAAAAATAAGTTTAAAACAAAAATGGTATAATACCTTTTTTCTTCAATTTTATTTTACTGGTATCTTATCTCTAAGAGTATTAAGTCTTTTTAAAAAGATTACTACTATTGATCACCTGGTCAGTCACAATAGTGATACTGCTTCAGCTACATTGTGACAAATCAAAACACCTCAGTTTGAAGCAGCGGTAATAAATATTTCAGGATCAAAAGTCTCTTACTGCAGCAAGGAAAAAAGTTTGCTTAAAAGAAGAACTGTAGCCAACACTGCTGTCACCTTCAGAGGACTGGACTCAGAAACATTACCTATGGATACACCACTGCACAGCAGCGTATGTTGCTCATTTCTCGTGATTCTTCAGAATCATCTCTCAGCACATTTAGAAGGGAATTCTTAAGATTCAAAAATTAAGTATGGGCATCTGAAGCAAAATCTTGAGAAAATTAATCCTAAAGATGTCTATGGAAATACAGGAGCAGCTAGAACCATCACCAGAGACTGCATACTTAAAACTGCTTAAGTTAATGCATTTTTCAAACTATAAGTCACACAATCCCTGCCTCAAGCACTCTTCCCATTCCTAAACATTACCAGAATTTGTACTCCAGCTCAGGTGTAGGATTCTACACATTCTTCAATTATTTTATGTAGTTTTAACAGAGTAAGAGGTTTTCACTACACAGAAAAAGAGTGGTCACGTTCTTAATGTTTTTACAAAGAGCCTGTAAAAATTCTTAGAAAGGCCTTTCCTATCCTTACACTCCATTTTTAACACAATATTTTATGTTTGCTGTATTTTCCTGTTAGAGATGTGTTTTGTACTATCATCACTAGAGACAGTTCAGTTGGTACTGGCTCACTCTCCTGCTTCATTCTGCTAAAAGAAACAACGACTTTCCTGGTATTCATCAGCTTAACAGTGGTTACACTTCCAAAAGTTGACTGTTCAAGATAATTCCATCTACGAGCAACCTTCTTCTTTTAAGACTCATCTGCACAGTTTAAGCACTGTTTACTATCACGCACTGGACAAATCAATTCCTAAATCGTACCAGAAGAAACAACTTGCTAGTTTTGGACATCTCTCATAAATAAGGAAAAACTACATTTTGCTGCAGCATTTTATATTGGTTCCTATTCCAAAGCCTGTTAAAAGTCAACAAAACAAGTTTCCAGCTGCCTAAAAAAAAATAAAATAAATCTTACACACAATAAAAGGGGAAGTTCTCATCTGGGTGGAAGTTTAAAGTAATTCTACAGGATTCCCTGATAAAAGGATTCAGTATGAAATCAGAGACTTAGAGACTACTCATTTAACTATGAGGTCCAAGTAATAGGTGAAATTCTAGTCTCTAATTTGTAAGATGATGTGACAAGCACTATTTGACATTGCCATGAGAAAAACAGTCTAAGCCTCAAAGAAAAGCCAGTTTTAGTCACACCTCTAACCAAAAAGCAGCTGAGTAGACTGCTACTGTTGCCTGTTCAATGAGCATTTACTCAATGAATGATTTCTCCCTCCACCAGGAAAGTTCAGCATCTACCGCTGTACCAGTCACTGTTACTGATCTGAAGCAATTCAGTTACTACTTGAACCATATTATTGTTGTGTTTCTTCAGCAGTCGCAGGTTTAACTGCCTGTCACAGAATCCCATCTCACACAGACTTGAGAGAAGAGAGGCAGTGTGCTCTTCTGTAGCTGCAGGCTGCTGGAAACAAAGGACAGTAAGGTAAGCTATAAAAATAACTTATTTTTGCCATCTGAAGCAGCACTCCCACATTGTACTGGAATATAATTAAGGCACAGAGGCTCTTTTGTCCACAATTAAGCTGTTTATTTTAATTTCCACTGTTGACTTACAAAGGTGAATTACTACTCTTATGTGACACTGTAACAGACACGCTTCTACCCCTATGGTATGGATGTCCCCATCTGATGGCAAAGCAGCACACTTCAAATGGATGCCATTAAGCTTAACATATTGACATATTTATAAAACATAGACCCATAATTTTAAGGTTGACATTCTATGAAACTAACAGAGCATACAGGAAAGACATTTACCTGTTCTATAATGAGTGGTCCAGCAAATAATGCTTTGTAGGCCGAAGCAGCAACTGACAAAGCTCCTTTAACTAGTTCTCCTGCAATGCTGCTTCCTTGAGGGTATCTGCAGAGAAGACAGCTATTAATTCAAAGGTCAGTAAAAGCCAAGTGTTTGATTCACATGAAATGCAAGTCTCTCCTTGCTGAAGTGCCAAGCAAGATTCATTTTTTTGCAGAGAACAACCTACAATCCAAAGGAATCACTGCTGTTTGGGAACTGAGCTATCCAGAAAGCTTTCTTTCTTGATACCTTCTATTCAGCTGTGGTTTTATGCTAAAGCACATTAGTTTGCTTTCCATAATATGGCTGTTCATAGAGAATTAAGTATTCTCACCCTGAAGAGTGCATCTATGCATGAAAGGTGTGTAATGTGACACATCCATTCAGGCCAGACTAACTTCCATTTATGTTCCATCACCTCTTAAGTAATTTAATATTCTGCTCAATGTATTTTCTTATTCCTGAAGGCTTAGTATCTTAGGATGCTTAACTTTGCAGCTAACTTACAAAATCCCTATTTAAAGAATCCTAAGATTTTCCAGAAAAAAACACAGAATTTTTAAGGATTCAGCTTGAGTTTTTCCCAGTTTTGCTTGTCAATTCTGCATCCTTCATATTCATGTCGAAGTAGAGACCTTATAAAAATGTAGCATTACATAATTCAGTGTATGCTTGCTTTAAGAAGGGAGGCCTTTCTACCACAACACTGACTACCTGAAATCTGTAAGCCAGTGCTTTTTCCTAGGTGCCTAGTTTAGCAGTTCTTAGTTTAAAACAGTATTTGTGAAGTCACAGCTTCAGCTTCATTACCTTGGGTATTCTGAGCACTTTTGTTTACTAGTTAGAAATCCAGAAGATCCTGGTCTATCACTGTCTTCACCACTGGGTTCTGGAACAGGAAAAAAACCCAACTATTACATCAACACATCCAGTTAATGAAAAGCTGAAGAGATGCAACATGTACATAAATGGAAAGGAGTGGGATATGGTCCAAAATTAATACTTCAAGCACAGTTATTAAGATATAGAGGATTCTCACTGCAGTCAGAACAATTTCAGAATTCATTTGGCTAATTAGTCAGTGGGTGTTTAACATGATATGAACTGCTGTCTGACCTCATAGTGACTGCAGCAACAGCTTAAATACACAGCTCATTAATTCCAGAGAAAGGTAATTTTCCAGATGTCTACAAATACTTCTGAGTACCTCATACCATTTCTAATGAATAGATGGTCTTAGGTGATCAACAAAGCAAATTACTCCTTTATTAAAATCTCCTATGTAGTAAAATCTCAACAACCACCATTACATGGTAGAATTCTGCTTTCCTCAAGAACAAGACACCAAATCCAATACTAGGCAAAGAAATAAGCAATAACTGTGGATACACTCAACATTAAGTACTGTCAATACCTTCTCTCATTTGATTATGAGGAGTGGAAGAGCTATTTTCTGAAGCTGTTCTGCTGGGTTCTTGAATGATAGGATTCTGAAGAGATGCAAGATCCCTGAAAACATAAAGAAAAACAATTCCTTTTACTACTTTCATTCTGAGTGTACACACGTAGGTAAGTCAAAGTCAACACATAAAAGAAAAAGCTTCACACGCCACCTCCTTTCTCTCTTGCATTCACCTAATCAGCAAGTACAGGCTTTCTGGAAAGTTGGAAGGATTTAGGACTGTTCACTCCAGTATGCGACAAAACTTGTTGGAATTATTTCTGTTTGGACACTGAACTGAAGCAGAATATCCTGTACCCTCTACAGCAACACTAACATAACCATTTTGTTCTTGTCCAAAAGCATACCTTTGTGTCTGCGGCAAGGTGTCCACAATCTCTGGTGTTAGTGGTACCACAGACAATGTTTGTGAAGTTGTGAAAATATCACTGACATTGTGGATCTGTGGCTGATGTCCCCCTTCTGGATTCTCTGTTCCTGTTTCAGGTTCTCCTGTCTTTTCCAAACTGGGCTGAGAAAGAGCTGAACTATACATAGACTCCCCTAAAGGACGACTAGTGTCAAAGCACTCAGGGAGAATAATGATATAATCCTCTGATGAAGCAGAAGAACCTTGACTTTGAACATCATCTTTATCTTCATCTTCCCCTTCATCAGAATTGCTGGTATCACTACAGGGGTTTATTCTCTCAGACAGTGGAAGGTGCCCTAACAAGAAAAAGTTACATATTAACAAACTGTTGATTTTGCATGGATAACAGCATAAACATATCTGAATACCCTACTGGAACCTTTGTCTCAATTTCACTTTTTTTTAAGCAGCTGTTAATCCAACTGCTTGTTCAGAGAACTGGTATCAGTTTTCTGATGCCATGGTTCTCTTCATCCAATGAGGATGAATTCTCTAGAACAGCTTCAGATCTTTTCATGCCAGATCTTTTTTTTTTTTTTTTTCAGCCCTTATTACAGATACATCTTAAATTCAAACCTATTTTACTTACCAAAGTTATTTTCTGTCATTGCCTCTGACTGATGAATCTTTGCTTCATTTTTGGAAGTGCAATTAGTTTTAATTCTATGAGATTCTTCATTTATCATATTGCAACTGAAGGTGTCTTGCAATGTTTGCAAAGAGTCTAGTAAAACAATTGTAAAAACCAAAGTGGTATTACTGCCTGCAGTGCAAGACAACTTGTAGCCAATGTCTGACTGCAAAAAAAGTAAGGCCACAGGAGTCAGCTAAAGACAGTACTTACTCTGGAGGATTTTCTTTTTTTGTGGGGGTTTATGGTCAGGTGCAGCATCCAGCGTTAGGGAGCGAATTACAGTTTCACAGACAAACTGAGTCCCACTCATGTCTTCTTCCCCTTCCTCCTGGTTCAATGGATGTTCAGCTTTCACTTTCATTGTGCAAGTATCTGCAGGAAAGCAGGCTTCTGTCATTCCTTTGAAAGGGAAACAAGATTATTTTGACATCACCACAAGTAAATGTAGGTCTATAAAAAACTGCTCAGGCTAGCTAATATTGACTCCATGGGTTAATTCTTTAAAAATTGAAAGATGTTAAGAGTTCAGTTCAAATTGAATGTGAAAGTGATTGAGAACTACAGGGGCCACAACCTGTAGTGTTTGTGTCTAATCTTGTCTATAAGAAGCAAATTATTAATTCTCACAGCAATTTCATTAGTCAGACAAATCAAAAGTACCATTAACATTTCTGAATTCTACAAATACTATGCTCCAACCTGTACAATCAGAAAGTAGTGTCAAACTCCAGGTTTATGAGCCAAATAGCTGCTTTCCCACAGAAGGGAATGGCAGGAATTAGAGATCTTTTCAGACATCAAGGCTGCTGACCACACAGAACTGACAATATCCTCCTCCCCTCACCCCCAAGATCCCCATAACTACTGCTTACCAGGCACTGGTTTAAAACCACTCCCCTCATTCTCCTCCTCTATCTGACCTAAGCCAGGTTTCTCCAGCAACGGGCTATCATGGGGCAAAGGGGACATGCACGGAGTCATGTCTGAAAAACAAAAGTGGCAGAGATAATTGGCACTAAAGGAGTAGGAATCTCCCTTCCTTCAGGAGGCAGCCAATTAAGAAGCTATCCTTTTTTAAGAGATCTTCTTCCAAGATAAATTAGTGAAATAAACAACTAGCACTGGCTGAGCAAAGAAAATAGCAGATGCCTTCAATGTCTGGAATGTTATCATCTTGGGAAGTGAAGCTTCAAAGAACTCAAGACTGAAAAATACAAAAAAATTACAAAGCAGTATCAAGTATCTACTCTAACACTTCAGGAAGTATTAAAATGAAAAGACATGAAAGCTGGCAAGACCCTCTAGCCTGTAGAGTAAGTGTTTTACACTAGAAGTTCATCTTTTCATTGGGTAAACAGTTAACTCAGAACACTAGAGACAGAACACAGAATATAAAAACCTTACCAACAGGAGTGTTGTGTGGCACTCGCTCCAATTCCTGCACAATATTAATGTCCAACAGTTCAAAGGACAGCAAGTCCTGGAGAGAAACACCACACAGCTTTCATCAGCAAACCCTGAAATGGAATCCTATGCTGCACTTTCCAACATCAGCTCCCATTAACTTATAAATTAGTCTACTCCATTTTATTAGTTACTCAACATGATCTCAGATACAGGTCAGTTTTCCCACAATGTATATCCAAGTCATACAACACAGTACACAGAAATACAGAACACTTTGCTTCCTTAAGATTCTTAGTCTGTCCTGCATGTATCTTCCATTCAGTGACAGTCTCCAACACTCACCAATTCATGAAAATAGTTCTGCTGTGTAAAATGCAAAATACTTGTATTGATAGTACAGTGGCTATTTTAGAGCTCAGAAGCTTTTTATACTTATGGATGTCTATGTACCTACATATCAAACCCAAGGTGGTCTATTTTATTTCTTGATGCACATTAGCACTTCACCTGTGCAGTGAGCAGATCAACAGATGGTATGTAAAATTCTCTGTCACTTGGCAGATTTTTGATCTTTAAAGGAATAGCTGGCAGAAGTATTTCAGTCTGCTCCATGATTTCACCCATCAGCTGAGCACCTGCTTCTGTTTTTAAGGAAGCATCCTGCAAAACGAAAAAAAAAAATCATGTTCCAGAAGCCCCTCAGGCAAGCAGCAAATGATCACATAAAATGTAAAGTCTGAATATTATTATAAGAACACAAGTAACTTGAAATCAAGAGATTTAATTCAACTTATTTTAGAACCAAAAGGACAAGATATAACGAAGATAAATCCTGCAGTGTTTTGGTTGAATTAAAGAACTAGATAAATAGCTGTAACAGTCCAGTAACTAATCCCAGGTCTGTCAAAAAGAATGACCACTTTAGAACAAGTGCCATGAAAGTTGTGTTTCTTTTCTATTAAAAGCAAAAAATTAAAGAAAACAACTAAAAGAATGCCTTGGAAATCAATATAGTCAGGGACACTATAGCACTGCACCAGACAATATTCTTTGCTTCTTCTATCAGGCAGAACTGCCCCAAATACCATATCAGTTACTTGCCTGTTTGGTGCTGGAAGCTTTATCCTTCTGACAGGAGTCAGAATCCTTCCAATTGCTTTCTAGATAGTCAGGAGCTGGGGAGGGATCCACAACAATACTGCACCAGATTCTGGGCCCAAATTGTTCCCCTTTGTGTGTCAGTCTCCAGTGAGAGGTGTAAGTTCCTTCTGCATTAGGAGCTACAAACTCAACTGAAACAGTTCCTACTTGCCCTGATGGAAGGGATGGCACCAACACATCTTTTTTTTCAGAAGACGCCAAGGTCAGATTTCCCCACATGAGTTTCAGCTGAAATATACAACAGAAAAATCAGAAGTTAACTTCACAAGCTTCTCTGCAAACTGTGGGCAGTAAGGAGCACCTGAAGTTCCTCTGCTGAAAGGCCTTGTGGATAGGAGAATAGAGGCTACTAGGAGACATTCTCAGATTAGTCACTATCACCAAAAAGTGAAAATACAGCCCCATCTTTCAACATGAACACAGTCACTCACAGAAGAAAGGCTTTTTGAAGTCAGAAAAGGAACACACATGTTGCAAACTGGGTTGAACTGTAACACTGTAAGAGCACTGGAAGACACAGAGTGATGTCAATCTTGATTGCTCTCCTCCTATAGTATGTGGTTGCACAGAGTACCTACACAGCTTATTGCCCCAGAATTTCCAGCTTGTAAACAGGTCAAAAGAAATCCTAAACAGGTTCTGATGGAGAATCCAGATTCCTAAAGCATACAATTATCTTCCAGAACTATTCTGGCATGTAAAGGTAACAGCAAAGGAAAGGTACCTTTGTGTCTGAGCTCCATTCCACATTGCCAGTATTTTTCATTCGCCAGTGTTTGATAAACTTTGTTCCTGGTTGCAAGTGAGTCCCATCTGGCAAATTCTCATCCACAAACACTGCACTTAGTGTTGGGACAATTGCTTGGAAGGGTTGACTAGGACTCCTGGGACTAGGGGAAGGAAACAAAAGAAAAATTCACCAGAATACCACCAAAACTGAGGAAGTCAGCTGCTGTTTTACTGGCTAAAAATGGAGAAGGCCATTTAGTTTATTTTCTTCTTTGATCTCTAGAAATGTTTCAAAATTTTAGCTACCGTTTTCCCGCTACTGCACAAACATTTGCTTTCCTTTGCTTAAGGAAAAAACAAACATATCAAACCAAAATTTGCTTATTTGGAAGAATATTTATTGCAGAGCTCAAGTTTAACAGAGAAAAGGTCACTGTTCTTCACTTGATTTGGTCTGACAGCACTTCAGGCTATGCTATTTGGTTAGAGAATTAATTAATTATCTTTCTGATACTGAATCAAAAAGACAGTGCTATAGTCTAAGCACTAGTGTCCTTTATTTGGCCTTAGAAGCAACATTTTTCAGCAAGATATCACGGTTTTTTCCTGAAAGGGGGTAAAAAATAAATTTAATCCAAAGCTTTACTGCTCATTTGGGCTCACTGAGAGGGGACCGGTGAAGTAGCTCATATACATGCTAACTCTAAAAATCTTAAAAAATAATAATAAAAAATTCTGACCTAAATTAGCACTGGTTTTGTTCCTGCAACAGGCCTGCTCAGCAAAAAGAAAGCAAAGATAAAAAAGCTCCCCACAAACAGAAGTAACTAATTAATGTTAATTTGATTTTTAAATGCCCTAAATGGAAGGGATGAATTAAAGAAACTAAAATTAAACGAGTTTTACACCTGTACATTCATAAAATCAAAGGCAACAGAAAATGCAAAGTGCCTGCCCACCAAGGCTGCAGTCCAGTGAGCCTCAGCCTAAGATCAGATTAAAAAGGAAAAAACAAAAAGCACTGAACATAGTTTCATGCTGAGACACTTAATATAGCAGAAGATAGACTTTTTAAAAACAGGCAGTTAACCTTACCCTGTATGTGCATGCATGTGTATAAATCCTAGGCATTCCATTCCTTCTAAACCTATATAAATCTGTACATTTCAGGTAAGCGCCATTAGTTGCTTTTCTTCTTCTGCTCTCCTTCCAAGTAAAGCCAATAAAAACACTCTACCTTACCAATTCCACTTCAACAAAATTTTCAAGGGGTCCAATGATAAATTATAGTTTAAATGAGCAATCTCATAACCTGCCTCCTGTTACTTTATCTTGGTCTCATCATGACAGACAGCACAACCAAGAAATGCTCAGCTAACATCTCTTACATGAAGGTGTTAGGTTGGAGACTCTCAGATTTCTGAGTAGGTGAGCCACTGGCTTCCAATACATGGACAGAGTTCCACAGATGAATTTTCCTGTGCAATTTTAGCTGCTTTTTTAGCTCTCGGACCTCTGCCTTTCGCTGTTTCTTCTCTGCTCGTAATCTTTGCTTTTCTGCCTTCAGAAATCTTTTGTCCATCTGTTTCTGGAGCCTGCAGAGAGAATAAGCCACCTTTCTAAATACATCAAATTGATCAGAATTTAGCTTTAGCTAAGTCTTAGACTCAAAGGGAACGCTTCAGGCAATGTCTCGTGTTTGTAGACTGGATACCAAATTATTTTAAAATAATATCTTCATCACTGCTTGTGGAGATACTCTGGCCTCAGCAAAAGAGCAAACTTAAAGGCACATTAGAAGATGTTCAAAGAAAAAGCAAGCTCTCAGAGTTTGCTACCTACCTATGACACAAAATTCTGCCTTATCTACTTTTCCAGTTTGTTATTAAAAATGATCTAAGACTCACTAATTAGGCCAGTAATAAGTATAGAGCTATTTTTAGCTAGAGCTATTTTTAGCTAGTGGCAATAAAGTCTGAGTATTATTTCAATTTCTTTTTATCTCTAAAATAAAAGTTGAACATCAGCCCCAATGCAGATGTTTCCACTCTGCTATCAGGATAATCTTGTCAGGTCCTCACAGGTGCCACCATTTACCTATCTTGCTCCAGAGTAGCAGGCAGGCGAGGTGAGCATTCTGCAAGGCTGTAACTGTCAGTAGGGCACAGCACAGGCCTTCGCAGCTTCAACAAGATGTGGTTGGGATCGTGTGCATATGTTCCTGCTTCACACTGTTCACAGATACTGTAGGCTGGACAAAGGCTGCCAAGAAGAAAAGGCAGATTACTAAGAGGCAGACAAACAATTAATGCACTAGAAAAAGACACTGAAAGATAATGAATCATTACATTTCTGCAGAGAAACAACGCTCTACCATACTGCCATTGTAAGCAGTGCCTGAGTGAAACAAAAGCTGGTTCTCTCGCTTATACATCAATATTTGGAGCCATCTGGAATATTTAGATCAGTATCTCTCTTCCTGGCAAAACTGCAACACCATTCTCACTTCTTAGAATATACACTGAAAAAACCCAATGCTTTCATCAGCAGAACTGACTAACAAATGCTGATATAAATGACAAAACATTATACTGAAATCCAGTGCTACAAAAAGAACCACACTTGTGAAAATACAGAGCCCAAGTCAACTGCAAAGCAGATTGCTCCTGGAGGAACAGGAATGGTGAAAAACAGACTGTCATCTCCTGCTAGCAAGAAAAACATCCTCCCCCCCAAAATCCCTGCTGGCATTCCATTCATTACTGCTTCCTAGTCCTAAAATACTTAGAGCAATTGCCTCATTCAAATAAAAATCTCATTTTTCACACCTCAGTTAAGACACTCACCAATAACTGTTCAGTATTATTCAACTGACAACAGTGAGATCATTAAAAAAAAAAGCATGTCCTGCCTTAGTCTCATTGACTGTCAGAACTAAGTAAAGGACAATTACAGACTGGTGGCTAAATTTTTATCTTATTTAACTGAATGCAACATTTTCCTTTACAATTACTACAAGTTACATTCAGAAAATGTAAAGGGTGAGAACACAGCAAGTGTTACAAATCACGTCCTCTCAAAATAGAATTAATCTTGCTTTTATGAAGATAAGGTCTAGTAACCACAGCAAGGAATATAACCTGTTTGTGAGACACATACTAGAGGTTTTCAAGTGTACAGCATGCTGCAGGTTAGAAATCCTGAAGTCTATGACACCAAGATAGTTACAGACTCAGGCACATGCCCTACATGTCAGGTTTCCCACACTTCCACCTCTCATCGTGTTCTACCTGCACTGGTAGCGAACTCCAACAATTCGGGCCTGGCAGTTGCAGCAGCAGATCAGCCAGTCGCACAGGTTGCTGTTCCCCAGCTGGATCTCTGAAGTTGCAGAAGCTGCTGTGACAGAACTTTCAGAAATATCTGGAGGCTGATGGTGATGAACAAGCTTCTCATACAGCTTTTGTTCCAGTTTCTCAACAGTTTCCTTAACTACTTGTTCCCTGAACTGGAAACAAATTAAAGTAGTCATGGATGAGACCCACCCATGCAGCTTTAAAAGCTGGATTACATCATTCCAAGTCTCCCAACCCACAAATCATAAAGCAGCTCAGAATCCACTTCCCATCTCTCCAGTACACTCCAGATGAAATTAAACAGGTACCACATTCCTAGAACAGGATTTGTATTTTAGAAAATACCAGCCCATAGGTTTTAACAACACAAATTTAAATTACACATTTATGTTTACAATATTAAAATTCTTCCATAACCTCGAATGAAGTGAAGGAAACTAATCTCTGAGACAATTAACACATCTCTCAACAAACACCTTTGAAGTCTCTGTCATTAAGTCCTCCTTATGTCCACCATGGATATTTTAAATACAACCATTAAGCTCCCCCATCTTTAGTTTGTAATGAAGAGGTGGCAAAAGAAGGGAGATGCTAGGAAAAAAAGCCAACTTAAACAGATATACTATAGCACCACTGCACCTTTTATTTTCAAGAACTCACTAATTCATTCTTAGCATTCATGTCTAACTACTTCTCATTGATGTTTATTAGCAGTTCAAAACAAGTTAACACCCACATCTTATTAATCTATAGGTTATACTCATTGGCATCCTGAAAGTATTTTTTTAAACTGAACAATCAAGAAAAGCAAGGTCACTGAATGCTATGCTTCAAGTCTCAGGAAACCCTAAGTATAATCCTTCTGAAAACCGTCAAAGGAGTTTTAAACAGCAACACCGCATTTCTTGCTCTCTCTCATGACAAGTACCCTGAAGGCCCCATGACTATCTGGAGCACAACAAGGATTCTAGCATGGGAGCTACTTAAAAATACACTGAAATGAATCAAGAGTATAAACCAAACAATCCACTTTTGACAAGAAGTAGCACTCATAAAACTTTTTAAAGCTAACACCTTCACTGTACAGCCCCAGTCAGAAATCTCTTTTCCATTTATCTCCTCAAAAGAAAAGTGATTAGATGCCTAAATGCCCTTTAAGATCCTCAACACAACTACTAAAGGCAAGTGTGATTAGATGTATAGACAGGCATCACACCTTTTCCATGTATTCTTTTAAGACTACTAACATTCAGAAGAAAACACACTTACTGTTTCCAAGTAGCTGGTAAACCATTCTGGAGGATTTTCATTTGTTCTTCCTGTTCTAGTGTGATTTAAATTTTGCTGGGGAAAATCAAACAAAAACACATACCACAAAAATCAGTCAAAAACCTTTATGTAAGCTAAGCTGCAAAAAAACCTCAATACAGCAAGTTAATCACTTTCAAATAGCTTTCCCCTTGAATGCCTTTACAAAAAAAAATAATAACATTTCAAGTTCTTCAGAAAACAGTGGAAAAGCAACACAAGGAAAATATTCCAATATTTTTGCAAGCTTCAATGGGTGCAGGTAGCTGAAAATGAAGACCAACTTCTGAACTCAAGAGTTTTTATGTATGGGTAAGCATGACCATCAGCCTATAAAGTAAATAACACTTATGAATTCTTTGTGAATTATGAATGAATTATGAATGAATTATGAATGCATGATCCAGTTCTGCATCGTACCTGAACTGTCAGCTCCTTTTCATTTTTTAAGCCTTCCTCTAACCCTTGAGCTAGAGTGGGATAGTGCAAAAGATGTTTCTTCTCATCTTTAAGAAGTGCCAACTTTTCCATCACGTTCTTTTCATGTAGTTGCAAGGAACAAGAGTAGGAAGTTTCCTTCGAAGAAGACTTTTCTTCATACACATTCATCTGAAGTTGATTTCCTTGCTTAACTGCAATCTAAATAAACAGTACATACATACACCATATTTACTCTACTTACAACCAACATATAAAATCCTGCAAAAATACAGCACTACCCTCGAGGGACTGGGGAAAGACTAACACACACAAAAACTGACTGAAACATCAGCTGATAGTCTATTCTGCCTTTCTTAAAGGTTACCAATATGCTTATTTAAAAGTTTATTATAAGCAAAAGGCTAATTATACAGATGTCTGCAGAAACTTTTACATCTAAAATAAAGCTGTTCATATGTGCCAGTAAACACTGGAGATTTTGTGCAGGAACATATGGTAAATTTTCGTTTATTATTATTTTCAAATTATTACCATATTTCAAATTCAGACCACGAGCAAAACGTTCTGAAAGCATTAGTATTGCTTAACTGAAATCTAAAGGACTGCAATTCTTATGTTGTCTAAGTAAAATAAATCACTTCTGAAGTTGATATCAATTAGTTGATGTTGATATCAATTAGAGTTTTAATGCCAAAGAGTACAACATTGGAGTCTACATGACAAGATCTGTAAAGGAATCCCAACAGAGCTCAGTATCTCCAAATATGGGATTACTGTTTAAGTGTTTGAGAAAACCAGTCATTCAACTCATGAACTTGCTGCTCAGCGTCCTGAATCACAACTGCCTATTCAACTAATTTACACAAATCAAGATTAGCCTGGATGAAAAGAAGCTGTAACAAAATGTATGAGCTACTGTCCAAAGTCGGAAAACTTAGCTATTACAATTTCCATGGGCTATTACAATTTTAATGCTGTTGTTTTCTCAGCCACACCAATTTTAACTGGAGAAAGATTAATATATTGAAAAAGTCAAAGAGAACATTTACCTTCAGAGCTTCTTCATATTCCTCTACAGAAAAAGGAAAAGAAATGTGAATTTTCCCCGTCTGAAGCAATAAATGCAAGTTTAGCACATAGTATTTAGGGACCCCTTACATGAAGGAGTGTCTGTCTGTACCTTCTGTAAATTATTTGAGAACAGTGTTACTGAAGGAAGTTGTATGCACAGCAACAAGTAAATATGTTCTCACAACCTAGAGTCTTAACATTCCATTAATTGAGTAATTTTCCATTTATTCCTATGGATCACAACCTTCTTTTTGGAAGGATCTGATGCCCCATCACACACAAAATCCAAAAATCAAGCACTCTCAACTGCCTCTTCAAAAACATGAACAACAGTTGGGGTCTCTACTGATTTCACTTCAGTAAAGTAGCAACTCACCTTTACTATTCACAGAGACCTGCAAAGAGAAATAACAATGAGTAACAATCACTGGTATTTTTTTGTGATTCTCTTAAAATTAACATGCTTTCAGAATAAATGTACTTTTCTTCAGTTTCTAAAATATGACTCCTTCAGATATCTGTTATTGTTGCCACATTTAATAATTAACCAATATTGTGGTGTTCTGGAGCCGACCCTGTTCTGTACTAGCTTTGCACAATAAGCAAGGTCTCTGGCCCAGACTGTCACCCGGAACAAGTGTGGTCTCACCTACTGCTAGTAAGCTGGTGCAAGTATCGCTAGGTTTGATATCAAAGTACACAGAGGTTAGACTTTTAATGACCAACATGAAACACTTTACTGTTCCTCCATTTTAGATACAAGCCCATCCCACCTTCTACATGTGATCATTTTACAAGTTTGAAAACAAATTTTGCAAAAATTATTTTCTGTTTGCAAGCTACATTCTACTCTAGATATACAGAAATAGTATGAGAAGGTGAGGTTATGCCAAGCAGGAAGTTACTCAATAAGGACAACTACAAGTAACCAATTTGTTTCTGAGTCAATAATCTGCTTGAAGATTATAGCATTTGCTTAAAACAAGCAGAGGATTTGAGTACACCAGATCACTGAAGTAAACATGCTGCCGAGATGGGACCTACATTTTTCAGAGGGACAGAAGATTGAAAAGACAGGGCTTTACCAAGGCTGCAAACACAAATAGTTACAACTATCTTACTTCACGAACGTGAAAAATAAAAAAGGCCCCTCAACAGATACATCCCTCCCTCAGAGGACACAGAACCACAGGCTGTTTCTACGAAATGAGAAAAAGACAAGACAGTAGCTTCTAAAAATTTATTTTAAAATAAGTATGCTACATTAAGAGTAAAACCACAAAACTAAATGTTATTTTCTAATCAAAGGGGCAAAAACATCACCCCTGATCCATGTAATAGACACTCCTGAAGGACTACAAATTATCAAGGGGCAGAAAGATTCATATCAGTCATATTTTGCTGGATCTGTTGGGAGGATGGAGGGTTATTTACCTCATCATTATCCTCGTCAACATATTTGATCTGAATGTTGTCCACGTCAAAAGAAACTTTTACCTGTAAGGAAAAAAGAACATAAAACCACAATGCAGCAGGACTACAGATGTTTTCAGTTGATCATTAGTATTAACAGAGAAAAAGGTTTTAACCCTTCCACCTCTCCCTTCAGTTTTTCAGTTGAAATAAACATTGCTTTACAAAATCCATTCTTCCAGAATTGAACAACTCTCCTCAGTGCCCTGCCTCCAACCTTTACTAACTTTCTACAGTGAAAATAAAAACATTTATTTCATGTTTCATCTTCCCTAGTTAATGTTTACCCCAAAATAAATAATGATAACCTTTCCATTATAAGAGGACTAGCTCAATGTTAACAAGCTCAGGTACAATAACCACTGCAGTATACAAAGGCTGAAGCCAACAATTATCAAATGCCAACTTGTACATTAAAAAGCACCAGAAAGACAGCTCAAGTCAGCAAGCAGCCTTTTATTCCACAAACCTATTTGTTTTGAGAAACTAGGATTAATTCAAGTATGAAAAAGAGCAAAATATCTTGTTCTACTACTCACTGGCTGATGTACTGTTTATCCACTATAGAGACAAGATTTAGGAGAATAAACAATTTTTTCGTAGTTTGCGTTAATAGGGATGAAGGAATAGTATTAAATGAAGCATAAATGAGGGTGGCTTGTTACTCTGTGTTGAATAACAGTCTTTGAAGCTCATGTGCACTTTTCTGTCATTTACCTACACCAGCTGTATTTTTCTTTACAGAAACTCTCTTTGAAAAACTGCTATATCTGAGAATCATTCCACTAGCCTGAACTTAACAGGAAACACCAGCAGCCTTAGAAGACAGCAGGTGGTTGGCACCTACATGGCACCAGGACAGCACAGGGACATAGCTACATACATTCCATAATGAACGTGCTACAGGCAGCTGCCTCCAGTGATATATCCCAAATTAATGCTGAGAGTACAGTGAGAGAAGCAACTCAGGAAGAGTCAAGAAAAAACTGTGGTCTGTATCTATATTGTCTAGTATCACAGATGGTTGCTCTAAAAGCCAAGCTAGAACCAAAGTTCGGGTTATTCCTTACAAACACCAGAAAATTTAATAATACACTGAAACACAGGAAAGACACAATGTAACTGATACTAATTCACACAAGGTAGTGCAGAGACACCCAGTAGTATCACTTTGGTTAAAGAAACACAACTGTAATAGAACACCACACCTTGACCAAACACACCCTTACTCTCAGACTGCTCAAGATTAAGGGCAACACCAAGCTCACACACCAATCTGCTTTCAGCTTTGATGCAAGTACCATTTCCACTAGTTCAGTCATTCCTGCAGGGTCCATTTGCCACCAAGTATTTTAACCCTGAACTAATGCCTACAAGACTACAAGACTGAAACAGAATGACTGAAGATGATGCAGTTAAAATCTTGAATCTGAGTAATTCACAATGCAAGAATATCCTACAACAGAACACACTTGCTAAAAAAAATAACTAAAACAGACAAAGGAAAATACTGACAAGATGTTTTGGGATACAACTTTTGAGAGTAGCTAAAAAAGCCATAACAGTTGCTACAGAATAAAATAAGTAAATAAAATCACTGCAGTTTCATCAAGAGAATCCTTAATATGTAATTTTAACCTTAGCCAATACAAGAACTTTAACTAGAAAGCACCGGAAACAAGTATCCAAACAAAAGCTCTTCACTATACCGAGTGCATGATACACAAAAACTTCATAAGCAACTGTCCGTCCGTGCAGGACGAACTCACAAAACCAGTTACATCAACTAGAGCACACAAGACACCAGGAAGCAAGTAAACAAGAAGCCAAAAATATAATTTAGTGACTAAGTACCCCAGACAGCAAAGATAAATCATCAGGAAAAAGAATGGGAGTTAAGAGGCACAGACTACACTTTACAGTGAAGTACCAAACCAAGAACCCATAATTGTGTAAAAGAGCGAAGCAAACAGCTAAGGACACCTGCACTCACAGTGGAACAAGTAACGCATCTCAAACAGCCTTTTTCACGCCACTCTATGTATGTAACAGGAGTAAAAGTTTAACGCTAAATAAACTGAGACGACAGCAAAATAAAGCACCACTTCTAACAAGCTGCGAAAGGGAAGGCGCGGCTCAGGAGGCCGGGAGATGCGGGGCCCCAGGAGAGGCCGGGCCGGGCCGGGCCGCGCTCACCATGGCCTCCACATCCGCCCACGTCGTGTGTGCCGAGTCCGACACCAGGAAGCTCCGCGTGTCCCCGCGGCAGGTGACGCGCAGGTTCAGCTGCGGCTCCATCCCGGGTCCCCGCGCCGCGCGGAGCCGCCCCGGCCCGCCCGACGGCCCTAACATGGCGGG